CCAAATAAAATACTAGGCCTAGTTTTCCCATCCCAGCTATTTCTGGCCATCTAGAAGAAAGAAAAAATCTCGCTTTGAGAGGAAACCCTCCTCCCATACCCACCCCTGGCTTTCGGCCCTCAGATAAACTGCGCGCTATAGTTACACCCATAAACACTTAGCCACCCCCCACCCCCCAGTCGGACATCTTAGCCCCCATAATTTATATCCTAGAGCCGCCACTGAGTGGTCCGTCCTGCAAATGGACCAAAACCAGATCGAGATTGATGTCCGGAACCTGGGTATACGGGCTAAGGACAATCACCTCAAACTAAACCCAAATAAATGCAAGGTTAGCTACAGGTCTAGTTTTATAAAAGATCCGCCTAACCCACCTAATAATAATATAATGAAATCAATATTTATATCAACTCCTCCTAACTGAACATAATACTAAGGACAACTGGGGAAAAGATCATTTTTTGTTGCTACTCCTAAAATTTGGAATTCTTCGTCCATACACATCAGGTCAGCAGAAAATATCATTATATTACTCAAGTTCAGACTAAAGAAACATCTGTTCGACCAATCAATTACTCTCTTTTTCGCACTTTTTTTTTACTCTCGTATTTTTTCTGCCTTGCTTGGCTCTGGTACCATGCGGATACCAGCGCCTTATAAATGTCCATTATTATTATTACTATTATTAGTGCCTAAAGCTCTAATCACTTAACAACAACGACATAATAACCAATTTAAAAAGAAGAATAAAACAAAATTTAAATGAGCAGCAATGCAGGACATGGTGACATTCAAGTGGTCTTACCCACCGATGTCAGACTTCAGGTTGCTGAGTTGAGCTGAATCTATCAACCGGTTATCACTTCAAACGGTGTGAATGGCCCCGGAAAAAATGGCCCAGGAAAAAATGGCCCCGGTAAAAATGACCCCAAATGACAGGTAGGTAAAAATGGCCCCAATAATAAAATTCTGTATTAAAACTGATTTTTTAAAAATCATTATATATGCATTTTTATAAACTGAAATAATTTAGTTTTTAAAATAAAAGGAATCTAACATTAAATAAATTGCCATTTACATTTTACTTTTTGCAGAAATTACATATTCAATGATAAAATATTCAAAGATAAAAAAAAGCCATGAATAACACTTTTTATTTTTTTTCCATTTAAATGTTAAAAACTTGCAACAACATAATCAATAAATCAACATAAATCATGCATTTATTAATACTAAAATAATTTATTTGTGGCCAATTTCAAGGAAGCGGAATCACAATTTCCCAGAAATTCAATCTGGGTATTGGTAAACCCCACAAACAATGAGTTTATATGAACATCAAATTATTATTTTTGGTTTTTTATAAACAGAGAGTTCTACAATCTTAATTAAAGGGTTTGGATGAGGTTCGCAGTGTGTTTGGAGGATTGTGGTGTATTTGCAAGTATTTTTTCACCAAAAAAAATCAACCTTTTAACCAAAAATAGGTTCTTATAAATATTTAATTTTCTTATTGATATACCAAGTGAGTCAATCACAATTGAATTGTTTGGTTTTCTACAGTGTGTTTTAGGAGGTTTTGGGGATTTAGCAATACCATTTGATCCTACCATAATTACTTTACTCTCACAATTACACGACATTTTAATTCTTAGCATAATTGGCATATTTACATAACTATGTATATAATATAGTATCTCAGTTTACATTATTTAGTATAGTTTTAGGCACTTAAATTTACTTGGCGGGGAGTAGAAACCAGGTATGCAATTAAATAAGTTGCTTAAATAAATGTATTCCTAATTATTCAGTTTAGTTTAAAAACAATATTTGATTAACAAATACTTCTTTGAAGTAACTCTAAGCAGAACATTTGTTGAAGCAAAGTAAGCCTCCCTTTTCCCATACATGAACTTGTCATTCAAACACACAATTGATCCACATGCTTTAACTACTGTTTATTCGCACTGTTTATAACATGTAAAGTTATTTCATTTGATACTTAACAAAAGTGAATTTCGTGGTTATCTATGAGTAGCATATTTTGGTAGTTGAAGTACTGTATATTATGTCATTCCTCTACTTTGTTAGTGGAATAACGTTTTTAAAACTTATTTCAACTATCAAAAAATGTTCAATGGCCGTTGTTTTTCTGATAATCTCTCAGTACATTTGCATCTGCTGTGTAACTGTATTTATTATTGATTCAATTCTTGCTTAGTACAGTATTTAAATATTTGAAGATTTTAAAAAAAATATATAATTTCTATTACTGAATTTTTTCATTGGGGCCATTTTTACCTACTTGTCATTTGGGGCCATTTTTACTGGGGGTAATTCTTACCGGGGCCATTTTTTTCCGGGGCCATTTTTTCCGGGGCCATTTTTTCCGGGGCCATTCTTACCTACATTCCTTCAAACATTGGCCGATCGAAGACTCCATCTTTGTTCCAATTTTAGACAAACATGCATGGTGACTCAAATTGATATTCAAAATTATTCCCACGGAATTAAAATCACACAACATGACGCTTAGGCAACGTACTAAATATCACACTTTAATAAATAAAACCATTTGATGCAACAAAAATAAAATCCCCTTTCTCATCCGTGTTCCCAATAACAATTACGACTTTCCCGGTATTAATCCATATTATTAATGTTGCGTGCAATTATGACAATCACACAATCACAAATCAATATATTTAATCCTACAAATTATCATAACATTACAGATAAGTATAAAAAAATGAAATTGTATCCGGGAGCATCTCATTAAGCCTAAATGAAAATGAAATATAATGATTATATTGATGATAATAATAATAATAATGAGCTTTAAATGTTCTTAAAATGTTTGCATTTATGTATCTGATATATTTATGAAATTAGTTTTATATAATTGACTATTCATATAATTTCTACCAGTTTTCCAGCAGTTTTACTGCCATTTGGGTGCTTACCGATTTTCTTGTTTAACTGTTTAATGTATTCCGGAACTGAAGAAACACCCGTTCCTCTTAACATGTTAGTTTGGTTTTTGTCGACACAAAAAATAGCAACATCACAGTTTACTTTAAACACATCTTCTGGGTCTTTCACAACCCATGACCTTTCCCGAAACGTGTCTTGAATCAACGAAGTAAACGATCGAGTTTTCTCTGCACTACTCTCTTCCCTGACAATCAACCCTACACCAGTGTTACATGTCACTGCCTGTAAATTATTAATAAGCCTATATTTATTACCTAATTCATGAGATCATATCCAGGGGTGGCGCACTGGGCCGTGGCCAGCCTCTCCCCACCCCTTTTTTTCGGGGAGAAAAAATGTATATGTAATTTCTACATATTAGTAGACTCTAAAACTGATTAAATACAGGTAAGCATTTGAAACCCTAAATGTCATATTTTTCCCCTGGAACACTTTGAGAAATTTTGAGAAGCCCGACCACGCCCACTTTTCTCTCGCCTGGGAACCCACCCCCTCCCCGTCCCCGTTGAGGAAATCAGCCCCATTGGGTAAATTCTGGAGCCACCCTTGATCTTATCTAAAACCAGTGACATATAGGCCTACAAAGATTTCCACATACAGAGAAGCTGGTTGGTGGTGGGGGGTGGGGCTGAATGAACCACAAAATATTTACCTTTTATACTTAGAAGGGTTTCCTTTAGATATCTATCTATTCTTGAAGCGTTTTTTGTTTAGCTGATATAGAATCCTCTACGTTATTACGGTCCTGCTACAGCATTCTTTAACAACATTAGAGAGGCCCCGTGTATTTGCGCTTTAAATCTATCTATTATTATTGTAGCCCTAAACTTACAGTAATGTTGTCTTGCTTGATTGTTTGAATATAACAGTATAAGATTGAAGCATATTAAAATTCTAGCTTTACACAAAAGTACCTAATAATAATTAGATATACAATGTGAGATATATTCATTCAATCTGTCAATTAATGTGCTTTAGAAATCTCGAAGTTACTTACCATTCTGTATACAATATTTCAAAAGGATATAAAACTAAAATCTTGTGTGGTAGTACCGTCTTCGTTTCGTTTCACCTGAGACAAAAATAACACACGTATGCCTACAGTAGCCTACAAACAATTAGTTCAAAGTTCGCCGGTATGGATGCCTCATGATAACTTCCTGTTAATACAGTAGTAGAAATTAGTAAAGCATAGCTTAATGTCATTCATGAATATTGAAGCCATAAGAAGTGAAATTAACGGTGTGTCTAGTTATTCAATTTCTATACTGTATACGGGTGAGATATGCCAGATCAAGGGGAAGGCAACCGTTCTTCTGATGCGGTGTTGAAATTCACACAGCTTTTGAATTTTCTTCTGAATTATACACCAGGAAGCAGGATCGATAAACATACTATAGGAAAGCAATTGCCCGATGACTTTCCAAAATTGGCTAGAATTGGCGTATTCGGACCGTTCAGTGCGGGCAAAAGCTCATTTTTGAACAACCTACTGTGGGTTCTTGGCTATGAAACGTCAACGGAGTTCAAAATAATATTTCCAAGCTGCAAAAAAACAGCAGCTATGGGAGGTCATACATCTGAGATGCAACCTGCTGACATCAGTCCTTCAATGAAGTTTATCGACACCAGAGGATTTCCAGACGTTAACGCTAAAGTTTGTAAGGAAATACGGCGGATATGTGGTAGGCATACGTGGGTATATCATAACCTTTTGAATAGGCATAAGCCTGTAGCATACCAAGACTATATAGATATATTGGGAAAAACCCCAAAACAAGAAGAGCCAGGTAATACAATAATTAAAAGCCAGTAAAATAGATAAACAATGATAGGCCAAACAGTTGCATGAAAAGTGGCTGGACTTCAACCTTCAAATTCTTGCTATCAAACAGTTGATATACCATAGTGCAGTAGATTTTTAGAAACTATTTTATTTAAACATGAATATTTCGACCTGACCTCTGGTCCTCCTCAGCATGACTCATGAATGTTTTCATACATATAT